TGTTTTTATTGAGGTAAAATACACATAACATGAAATGGACCCTTTTAATCATGTTTTAAGTGGCCAGTTCAGTGGCATTAAGTACATTCACATCGCTGTGCTACCTTCACCACCATCCATTTATAGAACTTCTTTCATCTTGCAAAAAACTGAAACTCTGTCCCCAGTAAACAATAACTCCCCATTCCTCCCATCCCCCCAGCCCCTGGCCCCCACCATCCTACTTTCTGCCTCTGAATTGGACTACTCTAGGTAACTCACATAGGTAGAATCATACAGTATTCATCCTTTGGTGTCTGGCTTAATTTCAAATGGCATAATGACCTCATTGTTCATCCATGTTGTAGCATGTGTCAGGATCACTTTCCTTTTGAAGACTCAATAATAATCCGTTGTTATGTCTATACTATATTTTGTTTATGCACTCATCCATTAATGGACACGTCGGTTGTTTCCACCTTTTGGCTATTGTGAATAACACTGCTATGAACCTGGGTGTACAAATATCTGTTCAAGTCCCTGCTTTCGATACTTTTATATACCCAGAGGTGGATTCACCTCTTTTTGACATTGCATCCTCTGAACTTAGGAAGAGACATTTGAGAACTCCTTCCAAATTTTGAATAAAAGTAATGACTACCCTCTGCTGGGGCCCCAAAAAGGACCTGGGCTCACGTCCCCTGACTCCTACATGGAAAGGGTGATTTTTTGTTTTTTTGTTTGTGTTTCCCCTTGAGTCGCATCTTTAAGCATAAAGGAAGTCCAAAGGGTCCTCTGTAGCAGACTCTGAGAAACAACGGAGTGTCTTACTCAATCCTCCCAAAAAGGGAACCCGAGTGATGAGTTTCTTAGTCAAGGTAGGTCGGTCCCGTGCTAAAAGTCAACGAACCCCAGCATGGGATTTTAGAGCAAAAGGGAAGTTTAGAAATCTCTTAGTCCAACCGTCCCTTCTGAGAGATAGGAAAACCAAGCCCCAGGTTGGCGGCTGACGTGGTTAGTCTCAAGGTCACAGAATCCGATTCAGCCCCATGGGAGGCGCCTCGGTGCACGAAAATCACAGGCCTGCTGCTCTGGCTCCGTCTGGAAATCGGGGTGCAGGGCTGCCCCTCTTCAGAAGTACTGGCCGAGATTCTGACTCAGGGTTGGGGAACCCTCTATTGGGATTGGGCGTTTTTGAAGAGATATTAACAGTGAGGCTCTTTCCGGAGGCCCGATACCATCAAGGCCTCTGTTTTATGAAGAAATCTTGGGCTTCTTTCACAATCTCTGCTCTTAGCTCTTTCTCAGGACAGGTTAGTGTGAATCAAACCGTGTGGTTGTTAATTAACTACAGTATAGGTGATTGGTTCCTTTTTTTTTTTTTTTTTTTTAACTCAGCTCACAGGGGTCAAAAGGAAGTTCTCTGGGTGCATTTGGCCTCCACAGTGAGCTTGATGGCTTCACCACTGTCACTTTGCCAGGCTTACTGGAGAGAATGTTCTAGGGAGGGAAGGGGAAGAGATTGGGGGCCCCGGGGCGATCACTAGAGTGGGCCCTGAGAATCACCTTCCTGGGACCCCCTTGCTCCCCTGTGTATGTGCTTCTGAACCCCAGAGAGCCATTGTGTTGTCATGCCAGGTTCCAATGAGCTGACCTCTAAGGTCTCCTTGGGTTCTGAGCCCAAGGGATCACTGAAGCTTCCTAAAAGAAGCCTGTTATCTCGCCTGCCTCTCCACCCCAAACTCCTCACGAGCCTAGATGGGGCCTGCTGGATCCTGGAAGAGTCCAAAGATCAGGGGAATTTGATTTATCCCCCATCTTGCCCCACCAATGAGACTCCTCCTCCCTGCTCCAGGCAGGCTGTCTTCATCGGGTGTTGAAAGGACCACAGGTGCAGATGGGCAGAGCTTGGGGCCAAGAGTCAAGTCGTAGCAGGCAGGGGCTCTGGGTCTGGCTCTGCTGTGAGGCGCTGGACAAGCCACTTGCTTCTCTCAGCCTCAGTTTCCCCCCGTGACCCTGGAAGACAATCACTGTTTCCCTTGCCCCGGTGGGTGTCAGATTCAGTGACGCAGTGCACGCTGGGGAGCTTCACGCGCTGTCCTGGTTTCCTCCTTAGCTTGTCAGCTCAGTTGCCACCGCCCTGAACAAGACCCCACCCCGTGGTCTGACAGCCAAGAGCACGGAGGCCTGGGAGGCAGATGACCAAGTCCAGCTCCGCCTCACTCTGCCCTGGGATTGTGAGCCAGTCTCTAAGCCTCAGTTCCTCCTCTGTAAAGTTGGGTAATAGCCACTCAGCTCACAGCCAGGATTATCAGAGCTGAGGCTCTGCAGATCCAAGCTGCAAGAAGTATTTCCTGGTGTTCTAGCTCAGCGGCTTTAATACCTACTTTTGGTTCTAGTTGATTGACTAATAAAATACTATGTTTTTAAAACATCATGGCTACGGAGGTCCCCCCAGAATAAAAGGCGAGGGGAACCCAGCCCCCCGGCCCTCCCCCAGAACGTGAGAGTCTCCTCTCGCTCTGCCCAGGCTCTGGCCTCTTCAGGGGACTCCTGAAGCCAAGAGTAAGAAGGGGGCAGGAAGGGGCAGTGTGGGGAGCCCTGGGCGGGGGGGGGGGGGATAAGTTTCAAAGCAGAGGAGGCCTTTGCAGCAACATGTCTGGGGGGGGGGGGAGGCATGAGGAAGAACACTGTCCCTGGGAGATAAGAGCTGCCCCACAAGCCTGGGGAGGACAGCAGGCTGGCCGAGCCTCATGCGGTCAAAATCTGACAGCTGGACCGGACCCCAGAGGCCACCAGGTCCCACGCCCTCATTTCAGGGCCCAGGGGGAGGGGCCTGGAGCCTGTCCCGGCTCCTGGTCAGGGCCTGACCCCATCCATAGAGCGTGCCAGCTTTGGGTCAGGCACTGGGGATGCCACCAGACCAGACAGGACCCAAGCAGTGCCTGCCCTCCCAAAGCCTCTCCTCTGTGGGCTGAGTACCTCCATGCCCCCAGCAGCCCAGGCACCACACTGGGCCCTTTACACAATTGTTTGTAATAAATAAAGTTCCTTTCTCTCCCCAGCAGTCCCAGGAGGTTGGTTTGAGATCGCCATTTAGCAGATCCGGACACTGAGGCCTCCATCCAGGAAGGCTGGGCCTGGGATAGCCCCTGGCAGAGCGGCATGGCCCAAACTCCTGCTGCCCCCAGAGGGGCGGGCAGGTCTGGGCACGGGTGTGGGTACCTCTTCTGCCTGCTCTGGGTCATCCCCTTGGGGAAGGGGTGGCTCCCAGGGCCACTCCCAAGGCAGAGCTCCAAGCTCCCTCTCTAATCTGCCTGCTCCCAGCCGGCTCCTTGGCCACGGCCTTATCAACCAGGCCCTCGCTGTTGTTCAGAGCTTTTTCCCGCGATCTTTCTCCCCGCGCTTGGCCCTATCACGCCTGCAGCCTTGCCTGGTGCCTGGGCTGGCCCAGGAGTGGGGCCTCCTCCTCTGAGGCCTGGGGAATGGGCCCAGCAGAGCTGCCATCAGCACCGGCAACGGCTGAGTGTTTCCTCTGAGCTTCTGCCTGGGTGTGGCATGGGTTAGGGGGGACAGAGGACCACCAGGAGGTGCTCTGTCTCCTGGGAGCCCTCAGGAGAGGCTCATGGCTGGGCGCAGGGATGTGAAACATTTTGGGGGGGTTGGGGCGGCGGGCAGGAGGTGCTCTCTGCCCCAGAGGCCTCTGCACCAGAAGCCAAGAGTACCGGGTAGTCAGGCTGGTCCAGCTCCGCACTCCCTGACCCGCTGACCTGTGGGTTCAGTGATGGGCCTGGACTGGTCTGCCCTGTGCTCAGTCCCTAGAGTTGGTGGACATTGGCCTCTTCCTCCCTGTGCACAAAATGATCTCAGGCCTCCAGTGGGGTCCTCTCAGGCCTTGAGCTCCACATAGAGCCTCAACCATCCCCTCCACCCATGAGGAGAGAGGAAAAGCCCCTCCCTCTCTGTGGGCCAGATTCTGGGCTGGAGCTGTGGACAAGGTGCAGCCCCGCTCTGGCTACGTCAGCACCCAACTTGCACAATAACGTGGATTTGCGATTGAGGTGGCCCCCCTCGTTGCAGCCCACCTGCCAGGCTCCTCTCTGATAGGCGCTGAGCACATACTATCCACTCACCAGCACCATCAACCTGGATTACCATATTACAGAAAAGGTAATAGGCCCAGGGAGGTTAAGCGTCTGCTCCAAATTGCACAGCAGGTGAGCTGGGATTCTAACCCATGAGCATCTGACTCCAAAACCTGTGCTCAGACCACAACTTTCCGCGGCCTCTGAATGCAGACCCCACCGGAATGCAGATGCAGTTTTCTGGGTGCAGGGTGCAGAGTGTTTCACAAATGGAGGTACCCCTGCCCTTCCTTCTCTGCTCCCAGTGTAACTCAGGGCATGCAGCAGGGGCAGGCTGACCTGGGGTTTTCTAGAAGTGGGTGTATTGGCTTTCCAGCAAGAGAGGAGTGAGGGACACTAGGCTTTGTAGCTGCTGTACCAAAATACCATGAACTGGGTGGCTTAACACAACAGGAGTGTATTCATTCAGGGTTCTGGAGTCTAGAAATCCAAAATCAAGGTGTCAGCAAAGTCAGCTCCTCTGGAGTTTCTGAGGGAGCGTCTGTTTCAGGCTTGTCTCCTAGCTTCTGGTTTGCCAGCAATCCTTGTCTTGAAGCCGCATCCCTCCCATCTCTGCCCCCGTCTCCACGTGGCCCTTCTCCCTGTGCGTGTCTGTGTCTGTGTGTCCAAGTTTCCGTCTTCTTATAAAGACACTTGTCACATTGGATTTAGTGTTTCTCCGCACCTAGTGTGATGTCACCTTAACTTGATTACATCTGCAAAGACCCTATTTTCAAATAAGGTCACATTCACAGATTCTGGGTGGACGTGAACTTTGGGGGGCCAGTATTCAAACCAGGACAGTGGATTTTGATTTTAGGAGGAGGTCCTAAAATATAGAGGAGTGTCGTCCTCTCGTCCTTCCTAAACTTTCTCGTCTTCTCCCCCTATAGGTGTGGGGCACCCGGTGACGATGCCACGCTCCTTCCTGGTGAAGAGTAAGAAGGCTCACACCTACCACCAGCCTCGTGCCCAGGAGGATGGGCTCCTCTGGCCTCCTGCCCTTGGTCCTGGTGAGTCATAGCCCGGGATGGCCTTCTGCTGTACCCACCAGGACTCCCTGCCCATGTGATGGGGG